GATCTTTTTAAGAAATTTAAATTAGTAAATGGTCGGCTGCAGGACCAATTATGCGCCCATGGAGCAACCTAGGCATTTGCCAGGGGCAGCACAAAGGAGTAGAACAGTTGGTAGAAATGGGGATGTGTAGAAATCTTCAAGTTTTAATGACTTAGAGCAACTGCTAGATGATATTGAAGTCTCTGGAAAAAAAACTAACTCTGCTGCTATCTGGTGGACATCCAGATTTTTTTGCAGTTCAGAACAGTAAGCCTTGATTCTTATTGATGCACACTTCATCCAATAAGAGAACACTCCTGTCCCCAAGTCTCCTTTCCTGCACTTCTTTCCTAAGAATTGTTTATGTTTGCAAACTAGGGAACCAAAACAGGGCTGCTCCCTTGTATATAATGATTAGGTCTTTAACTGGTGACCATTATCAGAGTGGTATGCCTCCTCTGAGTGATTTATTTTGAAGTCCAAAGAGCACTGCTTACATCTCTGCATAGCATCCTCTTCCAAAAAAGATCTTTATTCATAGTAAGTTTTTCATTTTGCAATCCTTTCCAAAATGTAATAATAGCCATGCTATTTGGAAAGTTCTGAGAACTGAGGTCCAGAGAAATGAAGGAAGCCTACTTTGGAAAAGTGGTTTTACCCGTCTTAAACTACAATAAGCAGGATGAAATATTAGAACTCTAGAAATATCAATCTTTACAAACTCTACTATATATGGTTCTGTGTTCATATTTACTCAGTATGAATCTTGGGTAATACTACCTGAACTCTTGAATCCACTTGCAACTGTTTCTGCCCTTCCTCAAGGCTATTTCCAAGATAAAGTCAGTCCTCAAAATAGGAAGACTGTCCCAGATGCTGTAACCCCTTGTTCTTAATGCTCCATTTCTTTAAACAAATGTGCTTAAGCATTACCAAGCCACATTCATGTCCCAAGGTGTCTTTTTTATCGTTACTATATCAAACCATCAAGTATCATTGAAATCAATAGAAATGCTTCTGAAATCACTTGTCAGAAAAATTGGTCAGTTGGAATTTTCCTCTCTGGAAGGTACACAAATTCTCCACATCTAAAAAATTCAATTTGGTACGGTCTGATTTTTACTCAGTTTAAATGCAACAAAGTAGATTTAAAACACCTCCTGAGACCACACTGAACTTCCTATATTAGGAAATTTTTCTTGATGTATAATCATAATACGCTTCCTTATAATGTAAACCCATTGTTTCATGTCATCTTTCAGAACAACATTGATCTCATTTACCCCAGTTGTACACACAATAGCCCTCCTGATACTTGGTAGATACCATCTCTTCTCATTATCTTCTCTTCTCTGAACTAAATATACTTCACATATAATCAGAATACTTTTTCCTTCCTGGTCGCTTATCAATTTGCTTGCTTTCCTCTGACATGCTCCATTTTTAAAATCCTAGATTTTGCCAGTCACGAAAAGAGACTATAATCAGCAAGACTTTTACTAAATTGTAAGTTTTGCAATTAACTTTAAACTAATTTAGATGTTGGGAAAGTATCTATATTATATGATATTCAGTAGTATATTATACTACTGTATCATCCTATCTTGATATATTGAGAACAAACTCATTCTTAAATAGTCAAAGAACACTATCTTATATATTCTGTCTTTAAGTCAATGTTGACTCTTGGCAACTACCTAAATTAGTTTCTGCAGTTTTCTTGGCAAGATTTTGCTGAGTGGTTTGTCGTTGCCTTCTTCTGGGGGCCAAGAGACAGTAACTGGCCCAAAGTCATCCATCTGGCTTCATGCCTCAGGCAGGATTAGAATTCAGAATCTGCTACCTTAATCTCTACACCAATCACTTGTGGAGACATTTGATAAAAGAAGAATGGAATGGACTTTCCTGGGATTCTATTTTTCACGTGGGAGGATCAATGTGAAATGCATGAGATTGGCCAGTTTCATCCAGCATTTTCTAATAGTATCACCTTGAAGCATGTCACTGCAATATTTGAAAGGAAGAGAATCCAGGCAGCTGCAGAAGAAAGGTAATGTATCCTATTATTTGCAGCCCTCCAAAGTCCCTAAATAGAATAAAAGAGAAAGATCAGAGTCCAAGACATTTGAGGGTTTTTTTAAATTCAAATTAATGTTTTTTTTCTTCCATTATGAACCAGTGCCCTTAAGAAACATAAGATGGTATTGTTGCAATAAGCTTTTGTTTAACAGAAATCCTTACTTAAAGAAAATGTTTATTTCTGAGCAAATATTTTAAAACCAGGTGCATCCTGGCAAACTTCTAATGTACCAGATATAGCTGCAGCAATGCAAATAGATCGATGGGTTGTTAATTTTGAGCAATGCCAACGAGGCGGATTGAAAAACCAAGAGGTTAAGAAAACAGGAAGGAAAAAAACCCTAACATTTAAAAAAATAATAAAGAACAAAATGTTCTTCCAGAATAACTGCTCCCTGCAGGAGCTATTTTTAATCTCCTTGGAGGCAACTTCCCAAACCAAAGGCTGTTCAAACTCCTTCTTTTTACCTCCTACACAAAGATATTTCATACACACAGAGGGAAGCAAACAAAAAAACCAGACACCAATAGATGAGTTCACTTATTATGATAAACTAAGATGGTTTGTTAAAAAAACCATGATTGAATGTACACATTAGACAAAACCAAAATGTAGGTTCTTTTCAATTGTGTGATGTCAAACATGTAGCTTGTAGTTATGTTTTATGTATTGTAGATACTCAGTACACTAAATTCAAGAAATCATAAATAAATGAAAACTTACGGTACATGCATCCTGTCACTGATGCAACAGTAAATCATGCTTTACCAACCAGAGTGGTTGAATTTACATAGCATAGAAGTCAAAATAAATAAATTATAGTTTATGAACAATGCAAGTAGCAAATATGTATTCCTTTTCAAATTATTCACGACATATAGTCTGACTTGGCTTGCCCCCTAAAATTGGAAGAATGTGTGTTGAATATGTTCAATGCCTTGAGTTATTTGTAAAAATAATAAAGATACAAATTAAATAAATATTTATGGAGTAGCTGTCTACACAAATTGCTTAAGAAACCTAGCTTGTTTGCTTTAAGAAGTGGATAGTAGATATTATTTAAGCATTCCTCTACACTTGAAAGTATATTCTTATCCCGTTCAAAACTGCAAAGCTCTGATGCTTATTTTAGAACTTATAGTTCAATTTTCATAGGCATCATACCTCAATATGGCATGAACTATGAGCTCAATTTTCAGCAACTATGGACATATAGCATTCTAAGCAAGAATGGCCAGCAGGATGTGGGTTGCAGATAAAAAATAACAGGTTGAGTCTCAATCCCATCATTGCACCCATCATCTTGTCTTGATAATAGCCTGTAGAACAGGGGTGTCAAACTCAAGGCCTGTGGGCTAAATCCAGCACGTAAGTCCTTAGATCTGGCCCTGGAAACAGTGAATGCCTCTGCCAGTGAAAAAGTCCTTGGGAGGTCCACACATGGCTCTCCCAGGTTCTGTTTTTGGTTGCGATGGCCTCCTGCAGCCCTCTGTCAGAGAAAACTGAGCTTGGAGAAAGCTGTTTTTGCTGGAAGATGGCTGCAGGAGACCGTTGTGGCCAAAACTATGTCTGGGAGAGGCATGCAGATTTTCACTAGCAGAGAGCTGCAGGAATGACATCAAATTGGCCACGCCCACCTTGGCCTTCCCCCCACGAGGTCAAACACAACCCTGATGCAGTCCTCAATGAAATCAAGTTTGACACTCCTCCTGTAGATAAGTCTTGGCTCCAAGGATGAAGAAAAGGACTTGGAAGCCATATGTGGTCTCAAACTGCAAGCTGCCTATCTGTTAAGTGAAAATGGTGATTCCCCCAGGCCAGGCCATGAGATAATTGCAGAAGTAAAACTCCCAACAATCTGAATACTAGCTATATTTTTTCCAAGTCTATGGTCGATGTGGATATTATATGAAATAATCCTATAGTGTTTGACTGAAAATAAACCTATTTCAATGGCCTGTAAAGCACACACCTTTTTATTGGCTCTGAAAGTATTCCACTTGTTAAGAGAACACCAACAATATTTTTTAAAAATTATGGCCTCTGAGCTGTAATAAATCTTTGATTACATTTTATTAGATTTTAATTTGTAGGTGTTATCTGTGTAATGCTTTAATCACAAAAATATGGTTAACGTTCATCATTTTCATATATAAATATTCGTGCTGTTTGCTTATACATCATTACTATGTCTGACAAGCAAAGTCACTCGGGAAGCCAGATTCACTTAATACCTCTTCTTATTAATACTAATTTAAAAACTGTACTGTTTTACTACTCTGGCACGAAAGATTGTAAAATGGGGCAAAACTCACTTAACCACTGTCTCGCTTAGCAACAGAAATTTTGGGTTCAATTATGGTTGTAAGTCGAGCACTACTTGTACTCTTCCAAAATTTGTTTATTTATAATGTTGGTGAACCAACACAATTGACTCTGAGTAGTATACAATCAAAAAGCAATTTAATCTTGTTTTCATCCTGAACCCATTCCTGATTCATCATAAGGCAATTCATATTCTTGTTAAAAAGGGTGGAAACCCCTTCCATCAGTCTATCTAGAGTTATTCTTGACTATCAGTGGCCTCAGAAGAGAATAGATGCAATGCAAACTGCATTGCCTGGTAATCAACTGATCCATTCAGCAAACTGCTAGTAAGGATTTTCTGATTTATTTCCTCAACTTTCCAACTGAAGTTTTAAAGAGCTTGCATGTCAAGACTTCATTTGCAAACTCTGTACTTGATAATCAGCAATGAATCTTCCCAACTGGTTGGTCCCCTGAGTGCAATGTAGAATATTCAACAGAACAAATAAAAGAGGTGACTTAATTCATACATCAGTTAAAAGGACAAGTAGTGTCTAGAGAATCTTGATTAGAGGTCAGTTCCCCCCAAGTAATCCTTTTAGAATAATACTTGAGAAGAAAGTGAGAGCAGAGAACATGCTTTATTGAGAAGTTGATACATTGATAGCATATTCTAAAATATCCAGGAAAACAGTTTTGCTTCTGTACAGGAACAAGCAGCCTCCCTTTGTCACAAAAAAGAGTATTACCCCATTTTTTGCAATAATCTAGAAGCTGAGAACAATTGCCAGACAATGTTCAGAAATAGCAATCCTGCAGACTGAAGATGGCAATAAAAAGGCAGAACCAAACACAAGAACCAACGGATAGGAATTCTTATCTAAAAATCCTTGGTGGAGATTGAACAAGTCTATTTGTTTTTTCAAGATGGGAGATGAAAGGACATTTTTAAAAAACATGTTTAGTTGAAAACAGATTGTATGTCATGCAGGTGTCTACTACTGAAAATTGCATGCTAGGCAGGAATGAAAGGCATAGTTGTATGGATAATTGTATCTTCAGGATCCTTCATATACATCACCTAATCTTACCATTAAAAGCAACACTCCTCCTTTTGTGGAAACTGCAATTAAGAGTGCAGAATACAACGTCCATTTTTCTGCAGCCCCTAAACAAATAAAACATACTGTCTCTTTCATAGTCCACCATGTCAGGAAAAACCAAATCACTGCCTTAGCATAGGAAGTATTCTCAAGATGAAACCCAGGATGTAAATGTCCATACTTCAAGGTGAGTGAGCACAATCATCTGTTAACCTCTACTGCGACTACTTTGATCTTCAGGTATGCAAGTGTACTCCCAATGCCAGGTTACTCTGTGTCTCATTTGGAAAAAGATTCATATCTCAAATACTGGGATATTACTGTATATTATCATGGACATCTGTGGCCAAGAATTGGCCAGTAGAGCAACCCAATACAGCAGAAACTACAGAGACACAGCCCAGCAGCTGAGACATAACTTCACACCAATAATATAGCCAAAGAGAAAAGCCTTAAAAAGACTACTCGTAGGCCAATTCTTTATGTATACATTGCCATCTAAATATAACTGGAACCAGCAGATAAGAGGCTAGCAGACTAGCCAGAATTTTCTTCTTTTTCTCTTTTTAATATAGGAAGATTGAGGTTTTAGAAATGGGCAAATTAAAACACTTGTAGCACCCGACTTATACTAGTCAAGAGTTTTATTCTTAACAATTTATAAATTTCCATTCATCAGACAAAATACTCCGACTCCTATCTTCCCAGCCGTTACAAGTAGGTATTACTTATTCCTGGTAGAGGATTCCCTTGAATCAAAGACTTTATTTAAAAGATGATTTAAAAATTCTCATTTGAAATGGGCATGCTTACTATGGAACCAATGAAGGAGGTCTATTACAGTTGTTTTTGAAGTTTTATTTTTAATTTGTCACAATGTTAATTAAAATTGGGACAGTTTTAATTTGTCATAATATAGAGTCATATTATGATAAACTTTCAGGTATCAAATCCTAAAATGAGGTTAAAATTTATTTTGGGTAATCTTGTATAATAGACTTTTCATTTGTAGAACATTAAAAATTAATTTAAACATAGCCATAACTGCCCACCTTCCCTCAGTGGCTTCTGAGCCAACTCTTAACCATTTATGGAGCAACATATCTGAAGCTGTCAATCTTCTCACAGACTGCTTTAAAAAAGAATAAGAAAATTATCAGACCAAGGCAGTCTCAATGTCAGGGAAAATCTGCAAATTGCCAATGTAGGGCCAAAAAAATACAAGCCATCATGAAGACTACATTCAGTCAGCTGCAGTGAATTGCCCTGAAGCCTGGCATTAGTATATCCAGCAGCTTCACAAATTGAATAATAAATCACAAAACTGCCAAATGCATATAGCAATGTACTGCAAAGAAATAACTGCCAAAAAGAGCAATGTTCCCCCACCAGCTGATGAAATGTGTTTCTATGCATATTCTTGGGCTTCAAGCACAGGAGCTTGAAGCAGGTAATCCAAAATGATGAGGCATGCCAAATTAGAGAGACAACGCTATGCCAAGGCTCAAATGTTGATCTTGCAATTTTTTCCCTACAAAGTTAATTAAATTGACTCTTGAAGTATATTAGCAGTCAGAGCCTATTCAAAAACTGCCATCAGGGTCACTTGTCCAAAATTACAGTGGATTGAATGATTTTTGTCTTTCCATTCATGCAATCAAAAACAGGTAATGTGGTATCTTTCTTCCCTGATATCTCCCACTCGGGGATCTGACTAACCCGGTTACAAAATCCAATTCATAGAGGGCTGACTAATTGCTTCTGATACCCTGTATCCAGAATTATAAAACCATTACTATTCTCAGAAACCAAAGTCAGTTTGGAGCTTCCTTACCATCAGCTCTTTTGGTGGATTGAACTGGGGAAAATATTTTGATGGCAATGTTGGAAGACATAGGTGCCAAGATCAAGAAAGTTTTAGGTTCTGCAAATAAATGTGAGAAATTTGCACATCCAGAAGCAGTTCAGGATCCCAGGAAGCACCGGATCATTTCTTACTTGTACCTTGTCAACATGTTAGGAAATAGTCTCACGGACATACATTTAGACTGTATATACACATGCAGCAGAATGGCAGGGAAATGTAAGGTGAATAGGATAGATTGGAGTATTTCAGAACACAGGCACAGGATTGTTGGGGGCTTTTTTAGTGCTCTTTCATCTATCAAAAACGTGCAGATGAAAGCTAGTATAGAAATGGGACTAATGAGAATGTCTGTCCCTATCCCCACTAGCTTTGATTTTTCTCTTCTCTTCTCTTTCTCTTCCCCATCATTAAAATGAAGCAATATGATCCTTTCCATCACATTTGCAATTCCACTATATTGCATAGGTGAACTACATCTCAGAGGGCTAAACAGAAGTTATAAAACTAAAAATGTGAGGAGCAAACAAGTTTTTGTGCTAGGAGCAAATAACTGATGGAGGAGCAACTAAATCCTACAGCATTTTCTTGAAACCATGTTAATATTGTCCAGAACTCTCATCTTTTCCATCTTGCCTTATAGACAAGGTATCTGGTCAAAAATGTTCTATAAAAAGTAAAACACTGAAGAAATATCTGAAAGGGAAGAGTTGGTACCAAGAACAGTCACATGTCCAAGATCTGGAAGAATCTAGTCCTGGGAAAAGAAAAAGTACCCACAGTGGTGATGATGGCAGCACATGAATGGGATGTTCACACTTCTTGGAGAGACTGGTTAATTAAGTGCCTTTGGGAGGGGTCCATTTCAAACAGCTGGGATCCATGATTTTATTGCTGTTGCACCTTTTGGCCTCTTTGGCTATCCATTCATCAATAAGATCCTGAGAAGACAAAAAGAAAGGCAGGTTAAAGGCTATATCTATAGAAGACATAACTATAACTAATATTGACAGAAATTTCAAGCTAAGAAAGTTAAAACCGTTTTGCTATTGCCCCTCTCCTTTGGAATAGTGCTCCACCTGAAGTCAGATACGCACCAATCCTGCTGTTTAAGAAAGCTCTGAAGAAGTAAATGCTGCTTAGAATCATTTGTGATTAAAATGGCCTATATATACAAGCAAACACATGAATGGTTTTATGTCAGAAGGATAGTTTAATAGCGTTGCTTTCTTAAGTAAAAACCTCTGTATGTAGGTCCAAAAAACTGATTAATTTTGAAAGAGTCCTATTTTCCGGTGTTTTTGTTATAGGTAGAAAATTGATACCACGCCATTTCAGGCTTACTGTTTTAGAAAGTGAAGCTGTAATAACTTAGTTGCATAAAAAAGAAGGAAATGTTCTGAAGGAAAGTTTAGAAAACAATGTGTTTACTTGTATTGATTTTGTCATAATCAATTGATTTTGTTCCCATGGTCACCACAGATTTTGTGAAATGACCATTTTGTTCATAAGTCAGAATGCCTTAGACCAAAATGACAACAGCTTTGTTTTATTTAATCAAAACCTAAACATTATATACTTTTAAGGTTTTATAAAAATTTGTTCTGAACACCAGAACTGACAGATCTCACAACTCCTCCACACACTTCATTTCTGGTATATTAATTTTTTTTTAAGTTCATCAATATGATGTGGGGGAGAGGGTACTTTGATTGCTATTATTAGACTCTCTGACTCAGAAACCCGAGCAATTCTTCCACATCATCCAGAGCTAGTTATAAAAATAAAACAATATTTATCTTCTGCTCACTCTTGATTGAGCTGGTGCAGATCAATTAATATTGCAGTCATAAACAAACAAAAATTATTGAAGAATTAATATTAAAAACACAAGGAGACTTTCTTTTAGGACTGTTCCGTATCCATAAAGCTATTAACAGGAGATAATTTCTTTTTAGATAAGTTCAATTTATCTTAAGAAAAAATATACACCCTGTCCTAAATGAAGCATCCCAGCTGTAGTTGGTACCATCTATATTTCATTTTCTCCATTTTTTGGTGTCATGCCTCTCCTATTCATTGTTTTATAATCTTGTTTCCTAATATGTATCTGTCCTGTTTTTTTAAGCAAACATAATAAATGGAATCAGTACTTATCATATCCATAAGTGAAAAATTTAAGATATCAAAGGAGAAACAGGGATACCATGTAAATATTATTTTCTTCAGCCATCCAAAAATTCTATAAGCAACTGGTTTTGCTTTATAGAATGTTTACAATGAGGGTGGGATGGAAAGCTCTTTAGCTCTCCAGTACTGGATTCCCAACAATATTCAGACAGCTATGGTTCCCAGGAAAACTGAAAAGAGTCCTGCAAGAGATTTCTGTGCTCAGATAGTGCATACAGACTCCTGTTTTCCGATGCAGCCTATCTAGGGCAGAAGAGCAATTCCCCCACACACCCAAAAAATTCAGAACATACAGTCAGTACCCACAAACATCCCAAACAAAGATGCAAAACTGCAAGGCAAACTCTTACTTGTCTTTTTAGGACCAGGTGTTTGCCTTTCCAGTACTTGAGCATCTGAAGGGCTTGCAGGGTGCTAACAATGTCAACAGGATTGACAGCTGTCTCTTGGCTGATCTCTGGAATAAAGAGATACAAGACTCTATTATTAATGAAACAAATACATGGGATGATCTATTTTTTTAAAAAAGGCTATTTCCTGCCCAGTCACACAAAGACTGGAAGCCAGAAGGCAAGTTCATGTGGCTTTGTAAAAAAACAGAATATACCATTCTCAGAATTTATAATCTCAACGGTAGACTGAAAGCATGCCTTTCAGAAGAGAAGGCAAAAGACTGAATGTGATTTTCTCTAGTCAAGGATTAACTGCTTTCCGTAACTCTTTGCTCATCCAGATGAAGCACAAAAACAGAACCAAACAAATTCAGCAGTTATGAGATACCATGTCTTCTGGTAGACAGAATACAGAATATAGAGAGGAATTTTAAGCTTCTATTATTTGAAGGAATTTCACATTTTTCCTCCTATAGGAAGAAAAATAGATTGAAGTAACTGGGCTGGAACTGTTTCAAACCATTTGTGTTTTGAAGCATACATTTATTTATTCTCCGTTTAGATTCCAGATTATTTTGGAATTCATTGGACAGGCATAAAAAGTAAGGATAGGGAATGGGGGAGTAAGCATCTAGGGAAAAGCAGCAATGAAAGATAAATGAGGGATTATCAGACTTTTTAATCTCTGGTCACCTTGACCTATTCCTCAATAGGTTCTTAAGTTTTATTCATTTTAAAATATCTCCTTTTTTGCAACATGGTAAGAAAGATATTCACAGCAAAAGTAAATTGAGAAAAACTGCTCCATGTGGCCACAGTAAAGGGAGAGTTAAAATTTAAGGAAAGAGTGGAAAAAAGTAGAACTTACCTTTGATGGAGATTTCTTTGCCTTGAAAATTATGCAGATAACGGAGAAGAACCTCCTTCCAGTAACTACGGTAGCTGATAAGTCCCAAGTCTGAGAGAGGCCTTTCTGGAGAGCCAACTTTCTCTTCCACTTTGGAGAGTAAATAGCCTGTTTAGAGAGCACAGATACATTTTTGAAATTTGGTCTATAAATAAAATATTTATTTATTGCTTTAGAAAGTTTAAATAGTTCTAAAGAATTCTTCAGCTGACAAAAGATATCACCTTTAAAAATTGAGAGCTGCCTTTGTTTGTTATAGCAAATAGTAGTTACTAGCAATTACTTGGGAGGGTGCTCTCATATTTTCTGGTACTCACCAGGGATGTGCAAAATATTTGAGTGCAGTGTTCTGAGCTGAAAATGGCAGGACAAATTATTAAATATCTATTAATTCCCATGGATGCTAATGGGGAAAAAAAGTATGAACAATAAAAAAATGGGGGAAACTGTTGGCACCTTTCAGACCAACAAGTTGTATTAACAGGAATAAGTATGCAACCAACAGAGCGGTAGCTCATAACAGCTTATGCCTTTCAACAAATATTTGTTAATTAGAAAAAGTGCTACCACAGTCCTCCTAATTTTTAGCTACTGTGGAGTATCACAACTACCTCCTACAATGTCTAATGTGAGCAACTATCTTCTATTTTGGCTAAGTAACTCAGAACTGTTATTTAAGTAATCAAAAGTCAAGTTTCTCTGCCAAGATCTGATTCAATCTGACATTATTTTCGTTTTATCTTACAGATTTTTTTTTCAATTCAAAAATGTCTTTCAAATCTCACTGACTTCCTAGTAGCAGGTAACATGGGTTGCGATCACTTCTTCTTGTGGTATTTGAAGTGAAAAACAAAGGAACGAATGATCAAAATCCTCAAGCCATTTTGAGTTCGTACAACAACCATGAAAGCTTCAAATTAAGTGGGGGCACTTTTATTTGCAGTTTGAAATAAAAAGGAAGAGCCCACTACAATGTATGAGAAGCACTAGGTAGGTTAGGAAAGATGCATTAGAGGCATCATGTTCTTTGGGGTAGGTGCACAAGTGGATGGTCCAAGTGAAGAAGAGATGGGGAAGTGAGGGGACAGGCAGGGGAGACTTAAGCCAGCAACTTGTGGCCCTCCCTGTTGACTTTCTGGAATGCCAGCTAGAAAGATTGCAAACTTAAGTGTGAATGGGCTAAAAGGGTTTATGATCACATGATCATGAGACTGCTGGGATAGCTAGAACTCCACGGACCAGTCATAACTACCCATTCATTCAGCACTGTTATAACTTTATAAATGGAGTGGACAAATGATTGTAGATCAAGGAATACCTCTATGTTTATTATTAGTTATCATTGACTAATATTATCTACAGTATTGACAACACACATATAAGTAAATATACTTACTGAAATCAATAAGCATTTTGCCATAACCCTGCCTCATGTACTGAGGCATTGTCAGGATGCAAGAAACATTATAGTTGAGAAATGAGTTCTTTTCCTAAAATTGAACAAAGCAGCATTTCAGGCTAGTGGTTTGTAAGAATTACGTAAGCATATAGGTAATAACAGACCTGCCCAAAACTGAGCAAAACAATAAACAAATAAATGAAGATATTCCCAGTGAAGTGTATTTGTCCTATCTACCCAAGAACTATTAAGCCTTTACCTCCATTCTGTCTTGGTATGCCAAATAATATTTTATGGAATCTCAGCTTATAGTGAGACAAATCAAACTTTTCTTTGTTTGGTTTGAATAACCATTCTCCAAAATACTCTTACTTTCAGAAGATTCTGGAATCCTGAGTATCTGGTTTCTTAATCAATTATTCTATTCTTGCTTCAGCAGCCTTTACCAGTAATCTTTGGCCCCATTTATTTAGCATCAGAACATTCACTAATAGGATTGAGGGCAATAACTTCTCCCTATTTTATCACTGGGCCAATTCTCTAGGAACCATGCCTGTAGCTACTGATTTAAACAGCAGATATAGGGAGACACATCTCAGGATAGTAGGTTACCCCAAAAATTTAAAAGAAGTTTAAAGCCTAGAAGCCTAGTAAAAGGCTTCAAAAAACCATAGAAACAGTACCAACAGCATACAGTCAGTTCATTGTATGTTTGTGTGTGTGTGTGTGTGTGTGTGTGTGTGTGTGTGCGCGCAATTAAAAACTAATTTAGGATAAACAGCTAAGCAAGAATGTACATAATGTCAATAAAATCATGTGCAAAGCAAAATTTAAAAGTTTTGGAATCTTAACAGTCAACTTGTACATTTTTTGTCTTACATGAAATTCAAATCTTGAAGACCCTTCTCAAAAATGACTTCCCATTACCAAACAAAGAGAAAATCCAAGCTGGCTGCTTACATTGCATTCATCAACTCAAAAATTATTTATAAATCATGACTGATAAAAATAATGACTGTTTAGATATTCAGCACATCCTAGAGTTTGCCTTCCCCATTTCACTTAAGTATTTTACTTGAGTACCATGCTACTCTTAAGAATTTCAATACTTTTTAATCAATAATCCCGGGATGAAGACTTAACTGGTATATTTATCACACTAGATTATCCAACTCTTTTAAAGGCAGCCTGCTAGTTATGTTTCTTATGTAAAAGTTCAGAGGCAAAGCTATGAAACTTATATTCCAAAGGCATTTTTCAAAAGGCAACCAGACTTCGTTTTTCCTTGAATATGTTTCACTTCTCATCCAAGAAACTTCTTCCATTCTGAAGCTTCTTCAGTTCATAAGTGAAGAAGCTTCTTGGATGCGAAGTAAAACATAATCAAGGAAAAAAGGTGCAGTTTCCTTTTGAAAAGCATCTTTGGGACAGCCAAGATCTAGATGATTGAGAATCTTCCTAGACATATGAAACTTATCATAAACCAATTCTAGTTAAACTGATTGAATAAGCCAAATTTTTGTCAGATAAGTTTATCCCAATCTGGTTCTCCTGATGCTTATATAATTGTTACTGACAATTCTGATAATTCAATTAATCTAATGAATTAATTCATAGGTTGGTAAAGTTCTAGATTGTTCAAGAAAGCTCAGAAAGTAGCCAGACGCTATTAGTTTAGCAAGTAGCTTTATTAAGGCTTGTGCTTGCAATTGGAGGTCCTTGCCACACAAACAAGAATATATTTAAAATCTGGATTAGTTAAGAGTTAATGTGTAGACAAAACTGACATTTGTACCAAAAAAGTGTTTATATATGTGCTTATATATGGAATTGAAAGCCACACGTGCATTAAAAAAATTAAAATCTGCAATTAAACATATGCATTTATCTTTATATATGAGCCTAAATCACACAAACCCCAAAGCTACTTTTCTCTGGATTTTTCTTTGAGTATCATAGTGCCTAAATTAAAATGTGAAAACCAACCAAGTTTTTTCCTAATTGTTATCATTATAGGGTTTTAACTTGTTTCCAAATCTGGAATTTCTGAAGTATTTCCTAATAGCTATACATTTTCATTGACACATTAAAAAGTTCAGACAGAGGGGACTTCCGGTGGTGAGGTCATGGTGAAAGGAGAACGGTCTCCTCCGTTCCTGGAACCCATTCTTTTGCTTTGGGGATCCTTCGGCGGCATGAAGAACCTGGAGAGCGGAGCAGAATAGAAGGGAAGTCTGGATGACAGCGAAGTGAAAGGCGATTGCCTGCCGCCACGAAAAGAAACTCCTGAAACCCGAAGTGAAAGTGCCTGTCATACTAGTATGGCAGACCGGAGGCTGTGACTAAGCCACAGATGAGAAGTGAAGAGATTACTAACAGAACATGTCATTAAAGCTGATCAGAAAATCCCAGAGATGCAACAGTGGTGATTTGCCAAAAGAAAGTGAGTCCTGAATTTTTTTTACTGAAAAGGGAAGCTTTGGCAGGTGGGAAATCCCTGAAGAACGGGCGGCAATTTGATGGAACGAACAGTGATTCAGCAAATTTGCATAGACTGAAAAGAGAGGACACAGAACTGAAGTGAAGGATTCCGGGAAGTGGCGAAGAAAGACGAGCGGACATACAGAGGAGGATACGGAAAGAAGAGGATTTGAAAGATTTAAAGAAGGAATTGGGAAAGCAGAGGCAGTGAAACGAGAAGGATGGAAATGGCAAGAATGGCGAGCTGGAGAGAGTGGAAGGACTGGACAGACATTTGATTGAAGGAGACGGTGAGACCCGTGAGGTGTGAAGAAGAGATAGACAAGACGGACGCTAAACTGTAGGAGATTGAAAGGAGAAAGAGAAAGTTTAAGATGGAGAAGAGAAACAGAAAGTAGCAAAGGAAAGAGAAAGTAGAGCTGAGACGTGAGGAAGGAGGAGATTGGAACACTAGAGACAACAGAATAGAACTGGATTGAAGGATAGTTTCTGATGGTACTGACAGTGAGTGATTGAACTCCAAACGTTGGATTGTTGGTTAAATTTAAATTAAGAAACTTAAGGAGCTTGAAGGAAAAAAAACTGGATCTATAGATATTGTTTGACTATGTCCATAAGATGACTTATATATTTATATGTTGTGACTCCAAGACTTGAACCTGATAAGTCAGCAGATGTGGGCTCGAGTGAGGAAGAAGATCTGGCATTGAGATTCGAGCCTGCATTGCTGAGCGACCTTGAGAGGAGTCTGGGGGACAAGAAGTTGAATCTGAGAGATGAACCTGATTTATTAGAAGTTTCAGAGACCTCTTCCTCTTCTGGAACTCCCTCCCTGATTGCATCTCAGATGTTGACTGTTAATCAGGAAAGTGTATCAGAGGATTCCAGCTGTGATGAAACTGCCGGATGCTGGCTGGATGCCAGAACAGGAGAAGATTGAGACGTCAATCTCAATTAGAAAAGAGAGATCCAGCAAAAGATTAATTAATGAGACTAACATGCCCTTTCTTAGAGGATATAAGGGAGCGCATGACTTTGAGATATTTGCTGGAAAACAAAGTGAATCTTGCCTGGGAAAGACTTGCATTTGATTTACTGCATTGTGAGCTTTACAGAATTGCCGGACAGATTCTAGGAGGATTGCCAAAGGACTGTGATAACAGAGCAATTAATCTCCTGACTCCGGTTTTGTTTACGTAAAGTATTTGAACTATATTACTCAAAGTTTTATCTGTGGATACAGGTGGAACAGAACATTTATAGTTATATACCATATATATCTTGTGCTCTACTACAACTTATTATAAACTATAGTGGTTTATCTATACTTAAATATTTATATTTATACTACTTCTATACATATGCATAATTAAGTTCTAATTTATAATCAATAACCACATTTCCTTTTTTTTTTCCTTCTGTAAGAGAAGGGGCGTTGGTCCTACCTGAATGCTTCTTCTCGGGGAGCTGAAGGGAGAATCCAAGATGGGTAGTCTCTAGTCTCCTAGCTCTGCAGACAGAGTTGAAAAACTGAGGACACACCCCCTGGTAACGGTTCCCAATTCTGAACGACGTAAGCAAATTCAGCTGCTCCTCGTCCTCAAACTGATAGCTTAGCTGATACTGGGAAAAGGGGGGACATTTCCTCCCTATTCCGACCTGGCAGAATACAGGGTGGGACTGGATTCTCTCTTCTGCTCCCTGAGAAGAAGCTGTTAGGAATGTAAGTCACCTAACAGCTATTTGGGTTGGAAATATATAAACCAGGATAGACATTTTAAAACTGTATCTTTAAGAAAATGAAAGAATGCTAATTGGGTGTGGTTTCTCAAATGGCCATGAGATGGAGCCAGAAACCTGGATTGTCTTAGTCTTAGTCTCAGAAGAAGTCTCAGTGAATCTCTGTTTTCTTCTGTTGGAGAGTATTGCTGTTCCTCCTAATTGACTGATATTACTGGATTTGATGTAAGTCTGATACTGAACTGTTTTTGACACTGGACTTTGTCATTGGATTATCCCTGGATTGAAAACTGACTGATTTACTTGTGAATAACTTTGGATTGCTTGTTTGGACTTTGCTTAAACCGTTTCTGGAAGTAAAACCCTACATTTACTGTACAGTGTTATCTGTGTGCTGTGTGTGTATTATTCAAACACTACTCTCAAATACGTCTCCCTGTATGAGCTCATTCTCCTAACGGGAAATTACCTGAACAGAAGCGTTCAAGTAGGACCAATGCCCCTTCTTCACTGCGCCAAAGGCAAAATCCAGAATGGGACATACCAAAGCTGGCTGATGGCTGTCCTACGGGTGGGATCTGGATTGGTCGGAGGTCCCCAACTCTACATGAACCCCCTGCAGGACTCATCTTCCAAAGGACGCCTCTGCTGAGTCAAAGGAGACAATTTTGTAATGTCTTATGAATGGGGTTCCTGATGACCAGGTCATAGCTCTACAAATGTCCAGAATCGATGCCTGCATTGCCCAGGCTGTGGTGGTCGCTGCACTTCTGGTTGAGTGCGCAGTGATTCTCCTGGGTACAGGAAGGCTCTGTAACTCCTAGGCCTTTGCAATGCAGTCTCTGAGCCAGCAACCCACTGTAGAAAGCG